AGCGCGGGGAGAAGCGGCACACGCGGGCCCCCTTCCTGGGAACACGCCCGTGAAAGATAAGCCGGTGCTGGCAGGAAAACTGCAAACGGTTTAAGTAATCGCCAGGGCATTGTCGTGAAACGCAAGGATGCAACCCTACCGAAATACCCTTAAAACTTCGTACCCGTCAACGGGGCTTAAAAGCGCGGAGACTTCAAGCGCATCTTGGGGCCTTTATTAAGCCACAGTGTTCTTGTACACTGACAAAGACTTATGATTTGGCAAAGTTTCAAACAGAGGCAAATCGGCACTTGTCAAATGAAATCACTGCCAAGTGTCGCTACAAACGGTGTCCAAGCCCGTACCAGAGATCCGAATGTTGGAAACTTCACCGGATCTACACAGAAATATTTTATCAACATCAGAAGCAACCAATGTCTGCTTTTGTGACATGTACGTGATTTAGATACAGAATCCACAGGCAAAGAAATTAGCATTCATTGGTACAACTTTGTTGAAACCAGACTCAAAAACACATGCAGCATAATGCACTTCAAATTAGTGGACTGCAAACTTGAGAACTCAGCAGGGTTTCACTGGGCTGGAGTGTACTGCAAGGGAGCCCAATCCTTGGTAAGCTTCTGCTTCTACATGAGTAAACAGACTAGGCTCCTCCGCCGCAGATGTAGCGGAGCCACCGCAGTATCTCTCTTACCTGCATGCACACTTTTACCTACAGAAAAGCCTTATGCCTTAGAGTAGGCATCCTAGCTCACCCTGTTTGCATGAAGACAGCTTTTGTGAACTTGCTCCCTCTTTTTTCTTTTTCAAATAAAACATTAGTCTTATGGCTTAATATACTTTAAGGTAGAAAGTAGAAGAAAAGATTGTTACAAAAAAGTCTTAATGTAGTGTATGTAAACAGTAACAAATAACGTAAACATCACATTTCCTCTCCTGAGATATCCGCACTTCATTTTTGCCTCTTCTTAGTCATGTATTCATTCACCATAATTCCATCTATTCATTCACCTGTAATTCTGTTACTGCCCAGTAGGTTATCAAACACATTTTCTTTCATTGTGATTAGGTATGCACCTAAATTTCCTTAAAACCAGAAAGTGTAATAAATCATTCATTTAGTCATTTTAATTATTCAGGATTTCATTGAATATTTGTTTTCATTGAAAACTGGATTCATCACATAAACCACAAATTGTTAATTCCTTCTCTGATCAACTGTTGCAGAACAGCTAAGGTATCTGTTACGAGGATTAACTTACAAAGATCACCACTTGGACCTATGGTGATCTTCAACCCTTCAATGCCCTTCAACCCCAAAGTACATTTGAAAAATGTCAGCACATCCTTTTTCTTCTAAAAACTGATATAGCTGCCCCAAATCCATATGATTTCCTCTGGCACCATGTGCATCAAAATATTTTTCTTCCAAAGTGGAGAACTTTCTTTGTTTCTGAATCTCGGCATGTCCTCCACCTTCCAAAGAAACATCTTCTCTGTGTCGAATGACAATTCTTTTCCACGTTAATTTTCTTACTCTGAAAGCAATTGGAGAAATACGAGTCTATAAAATAAAGACTGTTTAGAAAATACTATGAAATAGCTATTACCACAAAAGTCAATAAATTCCATTTGTACATATATGTTGACAGAGATAATGGTTCCCTAGCTGGTCATAGAAATACTACTCACACGTAAACACTCCCATAAGCAGGAGCTTGTTCCTTTATACCTCCCTAGGATCAAAAAACCTTAATGTTACTCCTCACAAAATAATTGATGAAGATTTCAGTGCTCACTTCTGCCTTGCCTGTGCTAAGAATTCTCATATTCTCATACTCTCTTAGCTGTTATAATCAAACGGCAATATTCATTTACTCTGCATAACCCAGAAATATAAAAGATAGGAGCAGAATAAAACATAAATGTAAAGCGATATAACAGCATACATATCTAACACGACTGGGGTACTGCAGTCCATCGCTGTACAACTGCAATACAGAGGAAGGTAAAACAGAAATAAATGTGCACAGTGTGGTACTAGTAGCTTTGATTGCTGTAACCAACAGTACAGCGGATATTCAGAGTTGTAAATACATTATGCTAAACTTTGCAGACTTTTATAGGTTGGAAGGAGGTTGGATCTCGCACCTTATGGCCACATATACAACATGAAACACGTAATATTCTAACTACTAATGGCATTTAAGTACAAAGAAGAACTAACCTTGACCAGAACTCTTCACAACTACTTTGTAGACCTTCTACACAAACAACACCTGGTTTCCCTGGCATACAAAACCCTGACAGAGATAGCTCCTTGGCCCAGTCAATAATATTCTTTCTTTTTTGCTTGTTGTAAATGTGATGACTATAGATCCACAATCGAGTGAATGTGAGGTCTTCTGACTGCATGGCATCTGATGTTGTCACTGAGGAAGACGAAACCTCTTTGTCAACATAAGCAGCTGCATGGTCTTTAACCCATTCCCTTGCGCTCAACATGCAGGGCTCACCGCTGCAGTTTTGCATCAAATATGTTTTTAGATCAGAGTTCAGGCGAATCTGCTGAGAGCGGCTTAATAATGATGACCTAAAGAAAAAGAAAAATATAAATGCAGTTGTAATGTGCTTACAATTTAGCATGTTTTTCAAAAAGTTTTACTTGGCGCTGCCAAAAAATCAGGCCGTATTTGGACAGTATGCACTTGCTATTGATACTTAAGTCACACTAGCTATGAAAAGGTCTTAAATAGTATTTAATTGGTGTGCTAACTCTTGAGTTCACATATAGTACTACCAATCTGTAAATCAAAATCAGGAAAAAGGTGCTTGAAAGGTAAGTATGGTGGCTGAATTGATTTCCTGTAATATGCAAGGCTACTTCTTTAAACAGAAATGTTCCAATAAAAAATAACAGAAGCCTGGGAGTAATAGCATTTTGACAAGGGAAGAATAAGACCACTGACTAACTTTTCACTCCTTTAGTTAGTGTTAAGCCTTGTCAAAATGGACAACAGTTTCTCTTCTTGAGCATCAGACCTGTGAACAGTATCTACATGTAACCCCTCTGTACAGAAGATGGCACTCCTCCACACTTTTCCCATTTTTCTCACTTACTTGCTGAGGACACCAGAGAAATCATAACCTTGGAGATTTGTTTTTCTTCAACATTGTTGTCCATCTGGCTTAATTTGACAGTAAACTATCAAAAAAGGACTGCTTTTTCCTATTATGACTGTATTTCTGTAGTACACCATAGCTTCTAAGTGTTTTTATTAGCTGTGCTTTTAATGCCATACCTCACAGTGATTTCTGGTAGAACAGTTGGATATTTAAATGGTAAGGCACAGGCCATAGAGAATTCCACCTAAAAACAGATGACCAAATGTTCAGTTCAAGTAAGCCCTAAAATCCCACAAAATAGAAATAAAAATTAAAAAAAGGTGTTTACAATACCATAGAGGGATTAGAGACCCCCGGCTTCACATTCAGCATAAACTGAATTTTTGAAGACGGCATCTCTGCAGACTCATTTTCAACATAGTACTTTAGTTCTGCTACAGCCAGCTGGTCAGTCACAATGAACTCTTCCTCATAAGGAAACATGCTAGAGAGTAAATCTAATTCCGAAATTTGTATCTCAGCTTCTTCTCGGTTAGTCATTTCTGTTGTTTCCTAAGCAAAAAGAAATTAGGGAAGAAAATGGGACTAAATGAATATGGAACTAAGTTCATTAACTACCTCCATGTAAATCATACTAATCCTTATAACCAAGCCGATCAAAACTAACTCTT